CTACCTGTCAGTTGTGTTTTTGACAATGTGGATTTGTTTTACTACAGATTGCAAACAGTGGTAATGCTAGTATATTTAAAACTTTTATCTCTTTCTGTAAACTAAAACCTTTCTGTAGGCTTTAGGGAACTGAGGGAATCATAAGACTTGAATCCACCTCTCAGAGATTAAGTAGACTCCAGGTCAGTACAGCCTAAGTTTCCCCTGCCTCCTTTTACTGAGGGTGTGATCTCTCTCCTGGTCTTGGGACTCTTCCCCTCCTACAACCACCAGGGCTATGGGCCTGAAAGTTTCAAATGTAAGGTTTTCCTTTAAGTTCCTACACTTCAACTCTGTCCCTAGTCTATATCTGTCTCAGCAGTTTTCCACTTGGCTGACAGACACATCCAAAAGTCAGCTGTGGACTAGAAACAGATGGCTGTGACTTGCCAAAAGCTGATTTGAACTAGTCCAGCCAATGTGATTGCTCTCTGTCCCTCCAGCGGGGACAGCTAACCAGACGCTTCTGATGAATGCCCCATTACCTAAATCCCCTCCTGGCCTTTGACCAGCATTCCAGTCTTCCTGGACCCTGATAATGATGCCCTAGTTTCAGCAGGAAGTAGTTATAGAAGAGAGTATGTCACCCCCTTATCCCCAACAAGCTGGGATGTTAGATCTAAAGGATACTCCCTGGCATAAGGGACAAAATGCCTAACTATACTGCCTATTGGCATAGCAGGAAAGGTACCTACTAAAACCAAACAGGCCCCGATCTATCAACAGGTAGATTCATTAGCTGAAGTAGTTCCACAATAGGATGGGGCACTTGGCCTTAATTAGATGTATAAATTCTCGGCTGGGTGCCATTAAGTTGATGGCTATGAGGATCATCAGATACCCACTACAGAGTCAAGGGTTTGACTCAGGATGCAACTCAAGAGGGGAATGTGAGAGCAAAACAGGAACAACACACCAAGCAGCTTAAGGTTTCTGTTTGCCGTGAAGACAGTTGAGAATAAGTTCCCGTTGGTCCTGCGTGAAGTCTTTGCAAGCTAAGGTTTCTATCTGTAATTAAGAACAAGTTTCTGTTTCTGAGATCTGTCGTAAACTGCAAAACGTGTTTTTCAACCTACACTAAACTCGGGATCCCATTCACATGGTGCATATCATGAGCCTTGTTCCTTCCTCTTCATTGTATTTCTCTAACAAGATATAACAGCCAACCTTCTTGCCCTTCTGAACACCTCACCTCTCCTACACAAAGACCTCAAGAGGCTAGCCGGGGCTGCTCAGGCGCTGACTAAGGGTGAGACAGCTGCTGGCCAGTCCTGGATACACAAAATACAGCTTGTTTTAATTGGACAATTATAAATTTTATCTTTGCTCCTCATCATTCTCAGCGTTAGCAGGTAGACATGGGATGAGAAGACACACTTGATGGAACTTGTGACTATCGGGGCTGAGCGACAACAGCTGGCTTCTGTCTGGCCACCAGTGCTATTTACACTGCCTTCGATTGCTAGCCTCCAAACTGCTGCAACACTTTGCTATGATCCTTTCTATTTTCCTGCTACTGTTTAGCTTCACCGAATAGTAACAACAACTAAATTAAAAAAAAAAAAACAAACAAACAAAAAAAACCCCCACTGCCTTTGATCCCAAAACATGAAGGGAGGGCAGAGGCAGGTGGATCTCTGTGAGTTCGAGGTCAACCTGGTCTACAGAGAGAGTTCCAGGACAGCCAGAGATGTTACACAGAGAAACCCTGTCACGAAAAGCAAAACAAACAAACAAACAAAAAACCCCCACACAGTCCAATCATCAAAGAAATAGGCACGACTGCCCACAGGTGAGCACTGATTAAACTCCTTTTGTATGCAGGTTTATTAACAGTGATGAGGTTACAAATTACACCACACACAGTTTTCTTTGCTGTTCTTTATAGAAAACCAGAATGGCTTAAGCCACCAAGACTTCTGCCAAAATTTGCTGGATAAACAACAACAAACGTTTTTAGGAGTGTCCAGGATGAATATTTTGTGTCAAACTCTCTGGGAGGGAATGCTAAATGCTATGCTGTAGGGTAAACTGTTAATCCTTTTGCTCTAGTGATCCACAATGGAAAGTATTGGGATAATTGTAATTGATATGAAAAGAATTCTTTTTATTGCTGCCCTGTGCCAAGAACACAGTCGTCAATGTTGGGGCAGGGGGGAGTCCAGCACTCACTCAGAGATGACAAAGGTTCATTCTGTTATAACTAAGGGAAAATGAATGCCATGAGTTGGTTTAAGGCCATTTACTTAGTGATTTAGTTGAGTTCTGAAGACACTCGGCCAGGTTAATGGGGATCGAGTAGGAAGACCTCCTTCCTATTTCCACCTAACTTCTATTTACATATGTGCTGTAAGGCACATATCATATAATTATCACCCTATCTTAAAGCATAGCACCTTTCAGGATTCACTTCCTTATTACCTCGGCTACGATGCTTCCTCAGTCCCCACCATCCACTCATTCTAGAGAACTATGTTGAACTGCCCCTCATGGACCTTCTATTTGTGAGCACCTTTGCAACAGGAAGTGAAAATAAAGTACACCAGGGTGCTGAAATTAACTTGTGACTTAAAGATCACAGCTTGGCCCTGGGGCCCTGAGAAGATGGACCCACTCTGAAGATCTGGCTTCCTGGAAACGTTCTTATCAGGTCTCTGGCCCATTTAGAGAGAGGCAGCTTGAGTTTGATTTGCTTTGGTTGCTGGGTAACATGCTCTTTTCTGATAAGCTGAGCATTAATTTAATCAGAGAACTCAGGCATTAAAAACAATCACAGGCCATTTATTTTCTTCGAGCAAACTAAACAGAAGCTCATGTTTGGGTCCTAACTTGGGGCTGTAACTGGACAGAGGTAAGCACAAACCACAATAAAACGACGTCAAGTTTGCAGCTTGACTGTGTGTCCCAGGGGCAGCAACTTTGAGACGAGTTAAAGACCCTGAAGGTGACACAGAACATTTAGCGTCCATGTATGTTTGAGTCTTTAAGGGCAGCACAGGACATTCAGGCTCCCGAATGTCCACTGGTCTTCATGGACCACACCCCATCAGCCTCAATGCACCCAGGGCCTGGTAAGCCCAGCTATATGTTTTGCGAGTCTTCAGATTAACAGCACAGAGAAGTTAAACGGTAATTGCAATTTACCCTGCTGTACCAGTCCTGCAGTTTAGCTCTAGAAAGCAACTTCCTGGGCTTTAGAGCCTACTGTACCAGCTGTGGCAGATGGAGAACCCAACCACTGTACTAGCTACAGCTACTGTACCAGCTGCGGCAGATGGAGACTCCCCCCACTGTACCAGCTACAGCTACTGTACCAGCTACAGCTACTGTATCAGCTGCGGCAGATGGAGAACCCCCTCCCCACTGTACCAGCTACAGCTACTGTACCAGCTGTGGCAGATGGAGGACCCCCCCACTGTACCAGCTACAGCTACTGTACCAGCTACAACTACTGTACCAGCTACAGCTACTGTACCAGCTGCGGCAGATGGAGAACCCCACTACTTTCCGTCTCTCTCCTGTTTTAAATCCTAAGATGTTACAGTGCATTGATTTTTACTTCTTCTGGAGACCTAAGTCCTTGTCCTCACACCCCTCTCAAAGTGAGGGGTGTCTATTAGTGTGCATAAATAAATTCCATCTGTTTGTTCGATTATCTGCAACTTACATTCAAGCACCCGTTTCTCTTTCAAAATTAATGATATAATGTAGGCTTTTTCAGTTGCAGAGGTGTGTATATATCACCATGAAAAGATACTACAGCCACCCTCACACAGACTTAACAAGTAGTGGCCAAAATGATGCATTGAAAACGGGGTTGATTTTACCAATGCAGCTGCACCGCTGATAACTTAGGAGTTCAGTCAGTGATTAACTTGGTCCAAAAGCCATTCTCTCTCAGTTTTGCTTTCCAGGCTGCACAGTCAGGGAGAGTCAAACGAGCAGGCTCCGCTAGATTTTCCTTGTCCTTGATGAAACTCCTCTTTCTCTCTGTATTTTTATGCTAATGATTACTTATTTTTTTCCCCAGTGTTTATAGTCTGTTCTTGAGTGTTACCACTGAATACCAAACTGAAGTTTTTGTAAGGGATGATGAGGAAGGTTGTTTCAAAAATGTTTTATTTGAACCACTTTTCACAGTTAGAATCAAATGTAGCCATCCCTCAGTATCCTTGGGAGACTGGTAGCCGGACATGCCCTACTTCTTGTTAGGATACCAGTTGATGTTCATGTCCCATCTACAAAATGGCATAGTATTTACATAGAACCTGCTCACATCTTCTGGTAGAATTTATATTGTTTCTAGGTCATTATAATATCGAATACACTGCAATAGTTAACTGTTGTGCTGTATTGCTTAGGGAAGAAAAGATAGAAGAAAGGCTGTTCGACACATGTTTCCTACATACGCAATTCTTTCAGATCTCTTCGGTGTGTGGCTGGCTGCACCTACAGATATGTAGCCCACAGACAAGGAGAGATGACTGTGTTTTAGACATACCCATCACAACCCAACACACAGGTAGGAAAGGATGGGATTAATGACAACCAAGATATAGTTCCAGATACCTATTTATCCCCTTAAACTAACTGTACATAACCCATAATCAATAGGCACTTCCTTCAAAAACAAATATACTACAAAGAATAAACTGATATATTAAAAGAAAATATGCATCATTTACTACAGTCTTTCCCTTCTCCCCCAAACTTGGCAGATAAAATATTCTTTGGCAGCAGAAAAATATACTTTGCCTGACATGGTGGCACATGCCTTTAATCCCAGCACTCGGGAGGTAGAGACCAGTGAATCACAGCAATTTTGAGGCCAGCTTGTTCTACCTAATGAGTTCTAGGAAAACCAGAGCTACATAGGGACCCTGACTCGAGAGAGAGAGAGAGAGAGAGAGAGAGAGAGAGAGAGAGAGAGAGAGACTTGCAAAGCAATTTGAAGTAATAACATATATTATTGGCTTAATATTTTAAGTTAGACATCAGGAGACACAAACCACATTTCTCAATAGGTGAATCTATCCATACATCCAGTCATTGCCAACTAGGAGCATCCTAAATACTTCCTGCATCATCATCATGAGAAGGAGTGGGCCAGTAAAATTCCTGCTATTGGCTGCACAGCCGGAAAGGTAAGGCGAAGTTAATGATACTCAAGAGCATAAGGCTATTTGGTGATCATTTGGGCTAATGTAGAAGCAATTTAACTTAGGGTAAAGTTGTACCTGGTGGTACAGATCTGTAATTCCCAGTTACTAGGGAGGCTGAAACTGGAGAGTTTTAAGTTCAAGGCTAACCTAGGTAACCTAGAACACCCCTACTTTAAAATAAAGCAAAGGACTGGGAATGGTGACACACGCCTGTAATCTCAGCACTCAGGAGGCTGAGGCAAGCTGATCTCCGGGAGTTTGAGGCTACTCTGGCCTACGTAGTAAGACTCTGTCTCAATAAATAAAACAAAACAAAATGAAGGCTGGAGAGGTAGCTTCCTGGCAGAGCACTTATCTAGCATGCGCGAGGTCCTCGGTTCACCATCCGGGGGGGGGGGGGGAAGATGTTTCCCAATATATAAGGATAAGTGATGGATAAGAGATAAAATCATTTATAAGAAAAATGTCAAATGATTTAAATTTGCCCTATAAATTAAGCGACTGGAAACCACTCCTCTTCTGAGAGTAGGATTTTATGATAGAAAATGATTGTAGCTTCCAGAGGATGAGGGTACACGCCACTAACCACAAACTGCTGCCTTACTGTCTCCCAGCAGGATCTGTTGCTTTCCCGCCACACCTTGTTTAAAGCCTTCTGACTCTAACACGAGATGTCCTTAAAAGTTCTTTGTACTCAAGGAGGGGGAAAGAAATTTTTATGTTGAATTATACAAATTAAGTCTTGATGGATATAAACTATTTTCATTTGAAAATTTGAAATGAGTATTTTCAACTCCCCCAAAGGAAGCAGAGAAGAAAAGACATCTTTGAATAGGAAATTGCATAGCCATTCAAGTTTTTACGTGTACAGTGTAGGAAAAAAAGAAATCTCAACAAGTAACTGCTAGGAATTTAGGAAGCCGGCCTCTTTGGAAGAGCGCCTGCAACAAACTCCGTTTGCCACCCAGTGGCTGCAGAACGAAATTACTTCTGTCGCCTACAGCCCTTTATTTTGTTGGTGGAAGGTGGGGAAAGACTGAGGTAGATGATACCAAACTACGAATTTAGAGCCTCCCGGACATTCCTCTAGATCGCTTTGAGTCGCCATCACTGTAGTAAACGCTGTATTTATTTTCCTTGTGGCCCACTCGCAGTCTGACCACAGGCCTCTGGGAAGCAATGCGTTCAGATACTGACCGGTACGGAGGACACCGAGCTGGCCCGTGACTCGCGGGACACGCTGTTGGGCATGGCCAGGGTGCAGCAGGACACGCCCACGGTGGCTTCGGGCAGCTCGTCGTCCTCCGTCCACTCGTTGAGCTCGGGGTTGAAGCACTGGATGCATTTTTTGTACTTCTTCTCGCCCTCATTCCAGCCGCCCAGCAGGTACGCGCGTCCGTGGAGCGCCGAGACTCCCGCCGTGCTCACGCCCACGGGCAGCGGTGCCACGAAGCTCCACTGGCGCGCTGCGGGGCTGAAACTCTCCACCGTGAGCACGTCCACGCGCTCCCCGCGCGGCCCCAGCTGGCTGCCCCCCATCACGTACACCCTGTCGCCCAAGGACACCGCGCAGTGCCAGCCTCGCGGCGTGCTCAGCTCGGGCAGCTCCTGCCACGCGTCGTGCGCGGGGTCATAGGCGCACACGGAGCGCGAGTACGCGCTGCCGATGTAGCCTCCCGTCACGATCACGCGGCCATCGGCCACGGCGCTGGCGTGGCAGCAGCGTGCCACCTCGAGCGGCGCCTTGGGCTGCCACTGGTTGGTCGAGGGCACGTAGCACTCCACCGAAGCCAGGCTGCCCTCCGCGTTGCGGCCGCCCACCGCGTACAGGAGCCCGTTGAACACGCTCAGGCTGAAGTGCGTGCGTTTCTGGTTCATGCTGCCCAGGTGGATCCAGGTGTTGAAGCGAGGATCGTACCTGAGATGACAGAGGGCATCTTGATCACCTAAGTGGGGGAACCCATGTTGCCCAGCATTGAATAAGTGGGAACCCTCCACCCCCAACACACAATTACAGCTATTACTCCTCCTCTCATTCATTAAAAAAAAAAAAAGTGATACTCCCCTCTCTCCCCATTCAGAAGACGTTTCCTTTAACCAGATCCCCAAACAAACAAACAAACAAACAAAAATCAAACCAACCAAACAACAACAACAACAAAAAGACCCCACAGGATTCTTTCCCTCTAATAGCCACTCTCCCTTTCTGAGATTTAAGAGACATGCAAAATGGGTCGCAGGATAGAAGCTGGGCACCTGAAAGGGGAGCCTGTACATTAGAGGGGACTCAACCTATTTTTTCGGACATCAATGACCGCTAAGCTCTTTCTTGCTGCTGAATTAGGATAGGAGCTGTCTGCTCCGATTTCTACAAACTTCTCATTGGCATGTCTGTCGCGGCCATTCATCACACTGACAAAGCTGAGCCGCCCCTCCGAGCCTGTTAGAATGAGACCCATGGACTTATGTCTAAAAGCATCAAGAAAGGCTTCATCTCTCTGAACAGTTTTCTACTAGTAAAAGTTCCATTTTGTAGAATTTTTTTAGTGTTAGAGTGTTTTCAGTATAGAAATCAATATAAAGAAAGCTGGCTTGAGTATTTAAGGGCGAGAAAGCCAGCAGAAGGGAAAGGAGACCCAGTGAACTCACGGCTCCTTGTTCACATAGTTTGGAAGTTCTGTAAACAGACTTCCCCTTTGTCCCGTTTCACTCCCAAATAAAGTTGTAAGTATAGATACAAACTGAGTACCGGAACTGTGGCTCAGAGGTAGAGTGCTTGCTTGACACAGGTGAGCCACTGGGTTCAAGACCCATAACCGAAAAAAAGCATAAAAAGTCTGAAAATCAATTGCTTGAATTACTTATTAAAAGAACATATTTACACAAATATAAAGTATATGAAAATAAATTGCATAGAATATATGCTATACTACCAAAATAACTTAATTGTATTGATATATTACATTTATATATAAATATAAGATTATATTATATATAAACAAATATATTTACATAGAAATGTAATATATACACATACATATGTTTACATACACATGTAGTATATATATGTATGTATATAAAGAGTGTGTGTGCATGTGTGTCTGTGTCTGTGCATGTGTCTTGTGAGTGCAGGCTCCCTTGGAGGCCAGAAGAAGGTGTTGAACGCCCTGGTGCTGGAGTCACAGGCTGGTGTGAGCCACCTGATGTTGTTTCCAAACTTGGGCCCTCTGCAAGAGCAGTGGTACTTTTAACCACTGACCCATTTCTCCATGGATTCTTGGTAAGTGGTGGGTACACACATATACTGAGACAATAAAGACATGTCATAGAAATCTTGCTTCTTGGTCATGTTTGATGTGTATGTGTATGAAAATAGAAAGGTGACCATGAGAGGGGAGGAAGAGATTTTAAGGCAGAGTGATAATGGAATTCATGTGACGTGGATGCAAAGGAGGGATTCTGGGGAACCAGCAAGGGGACCGATAAGAGGAAGCAGGAGCAAGGGCGGAGAGTGGCCAAGAGATATGCGTAAAAAAGTGTAATGGCATGTGTGAATAAAAATGACAAAATTTAATCCATCCCTTTGTATGCTAACTGCAAAACATTAAAACGTAGAGAAGAAATCTAGGGTGCATATACCTCCGATGCGCTTTATACGAAACATGGTAAATATCAAAAGCGTTACCACCACTACTACGAGGCTAAGGACCTAAGATAACAGGCATTAATTCTGGGGCAAGGCAGTTTCTCCACATTGCAGTTCATTTGCATTACCGACAAAGCACTGGTACCTGCAGAAATTGCTGACAGCATGCTTGGCTTGGTTTCTTGCGTCATTCTGGTCCTCACCACCAGCTACATAAAGGAATCCATCCATCACAGCCACACACTGGTTAAAACTCTTGGCTGGCATTTCTGTGAGCTTGCTCCATCCATTTTCAGGGTCTCTATACAAAATGTCTCTACTAAGGGACTTCTCAGTCAGGCCAGGGCGTCCCCCAACAGTGATGAGAACTCGGCAGCCGCCTCGAATTCTTGTTCGCCGAGATTGCAAGGTGTTTTGATGATAAGGTAGTAAGTGGTAGTTCATAGCATCCACAAGCAGTTTATGACAATCGGCGTCTTGCATCATTCTTGGTACAGTTTGAACATAAGTGACCAGGTCTTGTGCAGAAATGGTACCAAATCGAATGTTACTTAGAAGATCTGCTGCGTGCTTCACTCTCTTGGGGTCGAACTCTAGCCATTTCATTGCAATCTGGAACGCTACTAGCTCAGAAGGCAACTGCAGGTCATCGTCTATGAGAAGCTCATTAATTTGTTCAAAGGTAAGCTTCATAAACTGCTCTGATTCTGCAAATTCGATGAAGTTATCCCGGATAAATTTCTGGGCTGTCGCTTTGGCGTTTTTCAAGCAGTACGTTTCGGCGATATTAACAACATACATGCAGTTCTCAACGCTGATCTCTCGTATCAGAAAATCGCTGCACATCTTCACAAGAGTGTGGATCTGAAGGTACACGGCAGCAGAGATGATGCTTCCTATTGTGTACAGAGAGAGGGTCAGCTTTCCCGTGTATGCGTACGCGATCACCGTGGCTAGGCCTAAGGGGGCGATGTCATTGAGGTCCACCCGTTTCGTTGATGGATCCTTTTTAAGGATGTTGTAAAAGTATTCACTGCACGAAGCCATGACTGATTTATGAACATCAAAGGACTTGGTTTTGGTACCAATGACTAAGTCACACAGGAAGCTCTCTTGCCGCATTTTACTTAAACCTTCCAGGAGGTTGGGGCCATAGGACGTGTCTGTTAGCTCAGAAGAAACACAGCTAAGGCTGTTGCTGCCTTCTAGGAGCCCGTTTAGAGCACTCAGCTTGTTTAGGGGGCTGTCTTCTACGATGATGGTCATCTCGTTGATCTCTGCTTTGTTCTTTTTGATAGCCTTCTTCTTGGGTGCCATGTTTGCCACAGCGCTGTCGCCGTCAAGAGCTCACTAAAAGAGAAGGAGATGTTTATTTTCCCTGTGCTTTGGATTTTGATATATTACACTAGAAACTTTTATAATTACATAAAGTAGATTAATTCTCATTTAACCAAAATGTATTTGAAGACATCGAGATGCACATTGCAGTGACATTATTTCACGCCTTAAACATTGAAAATGATTCTAGAAAGGTGTGTGTTTTCAAATGAAATCTCCCAAAGGGTGTATTTTCAAGCAATTATGACCCAGCAGCAATGAGCGGTTCTCTGGTTCGAATGCACTGTAAATTTTGGAATGGAAACCTTTGAAAGACTTAACCAAAAAGTGAATTATGACTACCTTGAAGGTTTTCTTCAAGATAAATATTAAAATTTAGGAATCCATATAAAATTACAAAATACCATGAAAAGAAGATCCTTTTAACAACATCAGTGAAACCTACCACGTTCGAAGCGACACACGTAGCCATCCTAAAGAATCCCTATTCTTTTGACCCGGCCCCTGCCACAGCACTTGTTCCTGCGCCTACGCAATAGAGCTTATTGGAACTCTAGGATTTGCTGGCGTGGGGCTATGTTTTGTTTTCTCACTTTGCTCAAATCATACTCACATTCATATTTATTTAAAGGACTTACACCCTTTCTCATTAGGTTTTGCAGTTACTTTCCTTGTTGGCCTCATTTGAGGAAATTTAAAAATACTTTGCTCAGCAAGAAGTTATAGGATAGCCACTCCTGCACGGACGGACAGCAGTTTTCTGGAAACGATGGAGCGGTAAACGTGCAATGTGTGCTCTCAAGACAAGCTGCAAGACAAATGCAAGCTGCAAACAAGAAGCTGCACTTATAGCCGAGCAAATGCAGGCCTTGTCTGGGTCCTCGGAAGAACCCAGACAGCCAATGCTTTATTCATGCACATAATGGGATCTCAAGGAAACCCTGGACTAAAAGGCTAAAGATTCTTGTGCTGCTTGGTTTTTATATCACCTTGATAAAAGCTAAATTCATCAGAGAGACGGGAACCTCGATTGAGAAAATGCTTCTCTAAGGTCGGGTTGGAGGCAAGCTTGCAGGGCATTTTCTGAATGATTGATGGGGAAGAATCCAGCCCATTCTAGTTGGAGCCATTCATGAGCGAATAGTCCTAGATACTTTAAGAAAGCAGGCTGAACAAGCCATGAGGAAAAAGCCAGTAAGCAGCTCCCCTCCGTGGTCTCTGCATCAATTGCTGCCTCCAGGTCCCTGCCCTGCCTGGGTACCAGTCCTGACTTCCTTCATGATAAATTGGGAGGTGGAAGTGTAAGCTGACCAAACCCTTTTCTCCCTAAGTTTCTTTGGACACAGTGTTTCATCACTGCAATAGTAACCCTAACTGAGACAATATGTTTATCCCATATTAGATGATGACTTTGCTAGTGGCATGTAGGTATAGAGGTGCTATTTAAAACACAAATATCTGATAAAAAACAGAACCTCTCCTAATCAGAAAGGACTCAGGCTATAGCGCTGAAGCTGGATCTCAGATCTCTGTATAATTCTTCAGTTCTGGACCATTGATGAGGTCCAGGGCATGCTGAGAGAAAAAGGGTAAGAAGGATTGAGACTGGCTCGGGGCAGCCGCTGGCTGGTGTTTACAATTCTGTTTGCTTAATGCATATAAAATATTGATAGGCAGATCTCTGGGTTTTGGACATTCTGATATGTCGGGGCTCTGAAGGAAAGGCCAGCAGAAGATTCTGAGTAAATGTGACTGGTGGACTTTCGAATGATTTATGTCTAATTTATAGTCTTAAGTGTGTTCTTCTACCCTGTAAGTCTCCATGTCCTCTTTAAATGAGCAATCCCCTTTTCCTTAACAAGTTTCTAATTATCTTACAACATTACGATTATAATCTAGAGGTAAGAGTGGAGGTGGGGGGAGCAGGGGAAGCTACTGAAGACGCGGTGGAGCAAAAAGTGAGGAAAATTTTGCAGCTGAGTCAGCAGTTGCAAAGGGCGCTGTGATGGCTGTTAGCCGAAGAGCAGGCTGCAGCGGGGGCTGCACAAGACAGCTACAGACCCAACAGGAACTGGTTCTGATTTGAAGAGCAGCTGGGCAGTAGAGTTTGTTGTTTTGTTTTGTTTGCTGTTGTCGCTGTAATCAGCTAGTAGCATGCTAGCCTAGAATGTGATTCCCCCCCCCCCCCCCCCCCCCCCCCCCGCTCAGACCAACAGCGATAACAGCAAACAAAACAAAACAACAAACTCTACACCCCCAGCTTAGTGTCCATATTTTCTGTGAAGGGTTACATCCAACGTGCATGTATAAATCCTATGGAAATTTTATGTGCATGCTAAAGGATCTAGAGCAGTGGTTCTCAGCCTTCCTGATCTGAGACCTTTAATACAGTTCCTCCTGTTGTGGTGATCCACAACCATAAAATTATTTTCATTGCTGCTTCTGCTTCGTAGCTGTAATTTTGCTACTGTTAGGAATCATAGGTAAATATCTATGTTTTCTGATGGTCTTAGGCACCACCCCTGTGAAAGGTCGTTTGACTCCAAAGGGGTTGTGACCCACAGGTTGAGAACCACTAGTCTAGAGCAATGCTGTCCTATAAAAATGAATCATATATGCAATCTAAAAACCTGAGTGGCTGCAGTAGAAAGATAAAAATGGATAGTTGAAATTAAATGCAAGTAGCTATTTATTCACCATAGCATACACAAAATATTTTTCACATGTAATTTTATGAAATTTTTAATATGCTATTGCATGTTTTCATACTAAATCCTCAGAATCCTGTGTACATTTTAGATGTTAGTATGCCTTGCTTTGGATCAGCCACATTTTCAGCATTTAGTAGCCCCAAGTGGCAGATGAATAGTATATTGGACCACAGAGCTCTAGAACAATCATTTAAGATATGCAGAATATAGCTGAGAATTCTAAAGAAGACAAGAATGTTGGAGGGAACAAACAGCAATGTAATGATAAACAAATGTATTGATGTTAAATATTAATGGAAAACCATTAAAAGACTCGGTTGCTAGAATAGATAAACAAAAGTGAAATCAATATGCTAACTATAAGAGATTCACTATACAGACACAGATAAGTAGAAAATAAGTGGTTATAAAAATATTAACCAAGGTAATAATTAACATAAGAAGGTCTTGTGGCTTTTTTTTAGTGTCAGGGAAAATAGACTTAAAGAAAAATTTTTTACTAGTAATAGAATTTCATAATAATACAAAAAGAAAATTTTTTTACTAGTAATAGAATTTCATAATAATACAAATATAAATTCAACATGAAGATGTGACTATCATAAATGTGTATGTTTATAATTATTGAGCTTCAAAATACATGAACTAACAAGTAAAATTTTAGAGAGAAATAAGCAATTCACAATTATATTTGAAGAAGTAAATTCAACAGTTGTTGGAACTAGAAAAAAAATTCAGTTAGCAAAATCTGACCACTCCTAATCACTGACTTCGTAGACCATTATATGCAACTGTAAAGATACAAATCCTACTAATGTGTACATGGCACATTCACGGAGTCACTAAAAATGCCTCAGCCAACAACAAAAAAAAGCATTGAAGTCACATGGCTTCTATGTAGACTACACTATTTGATAACAATAAATAAAGTTAGAAGTAATTACAGGCTGTCCAGGAAAACCACTTAACTTTCAAACTTTGGAAATTAAATGATATACTTCTAAATAATTTATGACTGAAAGAATATATTATAAGGGAAATTAGATCCCATTTCAAACTGAATGATAATGAAAACACGGTACTGGTACCAATTCCATTACTTAGCCACAGTGTGATCTTTTGACCTCTTCCAGGCTCTGTTGACTACAGGAAGAAAACCACGTGCGCACCTGCTGGGTCAACTAGCCCTGAGAGTGGATGATGCAGGGGCATCTGGCCAGTGTCAGTAGCTGGACTGGGATTGGAGTAGCGTGTGTAATACTGGGGTTTGGGAAGGGTTGAGAAGGGATGACGGTAGGAAGATGGAAGAGTGGAGGAAGTGAGGGAAGAATTACCCAAACCTTAGGAGATATGTATGAAAGAGCCATATGGAAACCTACTATCTCATAAGCTAATTAGCAATAATTTTTTCCCAAAGGACATAAAATGAGGTAGCATTGGCTATTTCAGTTTTTAAAAGCTGTGGCTTATTTAACTAAAAACCCCAATCCTAGATTTGCTACATATCCTTAAAAGTTGCTGGTCGGGGGGCGCCTAGTTTAAGCTAGAGCTGAGCTGAACCGGAAGCTTCCTTTCTGCTGGCTAGTGCTGAAAGGTACTAACCAGGCTACCCGGGGAAAAAAGTCGCTGCCACTCTCACTGAGCGGGCTACGATTTACTGTGCCACCAGGCAAGCTGTGCACAGCGGCGCAGCAATGCCATAACTGCTATGGGGGCAACTGAGTGCCTTCTGCTTGGAGCTGAGCTCTCTTCTGCAAGAGGGAAGTCATACCTGATACGCAACCTGGTTAACAGCCAGAGATCAAGTAACGCATAGGCTTAGGGAGGAATCTACTACTGATGCTTTGGTATGTGGATGCATTGTCAAACTGTCTTCTAAATACTTATGTTTATAGTTAGCCGAAGGCCAGTGCTGCTTTCAGCCTTGGTCGGAGACACGTGTGTGTGTGTGTGTGTGTGTGTGTGTGTGTGTGTGAATGCGGAGAACCTAGTTAGTCAAGGAGATGTGAATTGAGTGAGCTGTTGAGTGCTCAGTCCTATATGGGACATGTCTATTATCTTCACCTCCAAGGCAAGGTCCAGGGGACATTGCGGAAGAGGGGGCAGACAGAATGTGGGCTGAAGGACGAGGAGGAATGCTGTAAATAGACATCTGGAAGCAACTCGGTCATTACATTCGCGAAATCGCACAAGTTCTCATTATCTTCACATGAATGTAGAAGATGAGGTCTGTCGCTATCCCATCATGGATGGAGGAGGGCTTGGTAGTTAATGGTTGCTGGGGGAGGGCAGGTCATTTTATTAAAAGCTGCAGTCACTGGGTAGCTACTCATGCTCCAGTAAGTAGTTCCCTGCCCGTGCTCACACAAGCAACCTTAAGTCAGCGATTCAGTGGATCAAGGTAGAGAGAGACAGAGATAGAGACACAGAGAGGGACTTCTTGGGAAGAAGGTGCTCAGTAAAAGTGAGAGGAGATAAGAGAGGGTGATAGCAGGTGTCTGTGTTCAAAATAATTTACGTGCATGTAGGAAATTATTTAAAAAATTAAAAAGAAAACAATGCCTGCTTCACAGAGTTGCTGGTGAATACAAAGGTAAATCTTGAATGTCACCTTGATGGGACTTAGACTCACTATGAAACACACATTTAAAGGTGTTTACACAGAGGTTAGCTGGGCAGGGACCCTATCCTGAACATGGATGGTAACATCCCTCAGACTCCAGTCCCGGGCTGAATTAAAAAGAATGCCAGCTGAGCACCCGCGTTCACCACCGTTTCCTGACTCTGGACACAATGTGGACAGCCGCCTTAGGCTTCTGCCCCAGTACCTTCCCTGCCACAACGATTTGTGCTCTCCAACCATAAGCCAAAACAAACCCTCCTCCTTCAAGCCTCACTTGTCAGGCATTTGACTTCATTAACAAGGATCAAAATGAAATTTTCAAAGAACTGATAATTTTTTTTAAAAAAAGAAGCAGTTATAAATAGGCACCATAGGAATATATATGTGCACATATATAATATACATATATATGGAAAACTGAACAACTCAGCCTATTTTAATTTAGTCATTTGCCTGCCATCATCTAGAATATTCCTACACACTGAGGAATAAATTTTGAAAACATTCTATTCTTTTAGATTCACCTTATACATGAGCTGAAAGACAAATGAAGATTTAACTGGTTTTTCCAGCTCTCCCCCCTATAAGCCAAGCTCATGGCTGGCTACTCTGAGTGCCTAAACTTTGAGGCTGGGAAATCACCATGCTTCCCACTCACTGGCTTCCGAGGAGTGAGCCCTGTGCTCCTGGAGCTCCTTCCCCGGAGAGGAGCTTCAAGGCTCTATCCCCATTTTCCTGAGTCACATGCTTGAGCTAGTCTCATCAATGGGGGTCTGATGAGCTGACACGTGTATGCTCAAAGAGAAGAACTTTCCATTGGTTTTGCTCTTTTCACACACTTCCTACCATAATAGGACTGCTGGACCGAGCAGGCCATCCACAGCAGCTGAGGTTGCGAAACAGGCTGAGCACATCTGAAGGCATTGCCAATCCCTTCCTGCGGCTTCCTTCTCGGGTCAAAGAAGAGACTTTGCACCGGGTGCAGAGGGTTAAAGGAGACTTCCGGTCCTACTGGAGCCCGCCAGAGCTCTACCTTCATCCCTCGGAGGGTACCCAGGTATGATAACCATTAATAATAATCCTGATGATGGGTGCCACTGCCTCTTCTCCTCCTTCCTCCGTCCCTCTAAGAAGGATTCTCACCGGAACTGGGGAGAATGGTAACAGACACTATTCTCTCTCCAGGCCCGTCCTCACTGCCCACCCTGGCTCTTGTCTCCTAGGCAATTTCCACAACGATAGCATAATGTATTCTAGACCTGATTAGCAGCAGGGCAGGTTTATGCAAATCATGTTTTCCATCATCCTTTGTACCTGTCAAATTTAAGTACATTATCAATTAAAAATATAAATAACCAAGTATGCAGCTATACATATTAAGTGTAAATGGATATCTCCATCTCTCCCTAAGTAGTACTGTATACCTAGGATTTACTTAGAAAACAAGGATTATCGTATGCTAGAGACCTGGTTACCTATTTTATATAATTTAATTTATTATACACTTTAATATGCCATATATATTTATACTTTAATTTTATAAGTTTAAATGCTGCAGAAATCTTAAAATGAAAATCTTGTCCTGTTTTCATTTTACAAATGGAGGATTCAAAATTTAGAGAGTTTAAAAAACTGTCCACAGTCACACAAGTCACATGCAATGTGTGTTGGAGCAAAGATTCAAACACACACAACATCCGTCTTCTCTATTTTGCTTCCCTTTAATCCAAGGTCAGTTAAAGCCTGCAGAAGATGAAAAGCTACCTTTTTCCAGCATGAAAAAATTGAGATTGAGGGAGGAATACCCATGGTTTGTAAAATCAAATTTGTAAAATCAAAATTTGTAAAATCAAATATGGAAACTGTGAAAAAGTTCTTCCCAGTCCCAATTATCAAGATTAAAGTGCTTTTGAGTGCAAAATAAAGTTTTTGAAGACACAAACTCTGTGGGTTTCTTTTTCCTGCTAAAGGTGGTAAAGTTACAAAACTTCAGGTTGGGCCAGTCAAAAATGTAAGTGCAAAGAAGGGCTTCTATGACTTCATTGATTAAATAACTAAGTACTTCATTGTAAGGGTCAGACTGAACATGAAGTCCCCACTTTCTTTCTTAAAAATATAGAGTCAAGCCAGGTGATGGTGGCACATGCCTTTAATTCTGCCACTTGGGAGGCAGAGGCAGGTGGATCTCTATGAGTTCGAGGCCAGACTGGTCTACAAGAGCTAGTTCCTGAACAGGCTCCAAAGGTACAGAGAAACTACCCTGTCTTGAAAAATCAAATATATATATATATATATATATATATATATATATAGTCAAGGTCATCTGTTTAAATTAGGTAAGAGCTGCACTTGGACTTAGTGACTATGACATTGAGACTCTAAACACAGAGTTAACTACTATTCTAGTCTTTGTATTCAAGATAGAGAATTCCCAAATTATTGGTATTGGTTTTTGTTGGAAAAAATTATTTTTGAGGCCTTTTTGTAGAGATCGGATTGGCCTCAAAGTCACAGAGATCTACCTGTCTCCTTCTGAGTGCTGAGATTAAAGGTGTGTACCATCAGGCCTGGAAAACTTTAATAAGGAGGCCTTTCTTCTCTGTATTTTATATTTGCAAGGGAGTTAGAAGTCAAGTTTCTAATTCTTTCTCCCCAACAGAGTCTTAAAGACTCAAATTTCTTTGCTTATCACAGAACTGGACCTGAGTTTTGTATCGACTTTGCTCTAACCATTTGCAAGGCCTGCATGAAACATGCAACCTTTATGGTTTTAGTTTAACCTCTTGTCAGATCGGAGATTTTAGTTCTGAACCCTTACAATAACTGCATAGCTGGCGTTTTCTGCTAGAGGTGGCAGGATTTAAGCCACTTCCTCTCAAACAGCTGTTTGGATCCCTAAAATTAACTTTTTCTCAGAGATAGATAAGCCAGTGGAGATAAGATTCCGTACACAGGATCTACTCAACTAGTTCTGAGCTGTCAGAGGCCACAAATAAAATACAAATGTGCAGTTAGGATTTCAGATAAACCAGGAAAAAAAAATATATATGTATATATTTGCATGTATGTATATAACATACATACAAGTGTGTACTTCAAACACACTTATATCAAAAGCTGTTTTTATTTGTAGTTTATAAGGAAGTTCATGTTTAATAGGATACCCTGTATTTTATCTGGCAGTTCTACTCCGGGTTTGGTTCCAGATGGAGCCATGAGCCCTGAAGGCTGTTCTGAAACCCACAACACAGATGTCTTCATGTTACTTTTCTGTAAAATGACTCAGGGGTTTCTTGTTGTTTGGTTGGTTTTTTGTTTTCCATAAAGTTCCTGAAAAAAATCTGTAAGCCAAAACACGCCTAGAACCACTAGGCTGATGTTGCCAAGAAACAGAAACATAACCGTCCCTCACCTGTAAGTGGGCAAGTTGATACAAAAGTATTGACTTTAAATAAAAATCATTCCTGTTCTCAAGCCGATTTCTGGAGAAAGCCGCTTGAAGATTGGTCACTTCACGTTTGAGAGTGTTCCTCCCACCACACTGCGAGCGCATGCGTGCTGAAGTCACTGTCACTGTCCCGCACCAGGAGTGGGATCCCACCAGACTCCTGGCTAAGGGTGAGAGTCAGCTGTGCCTGCCCCCGTCCCTGCTGCATTCCAATGGCTGCATCTGTTGGGGCTCATCAGCTCTGCCTCCCAGAATAGAAACGGACGTGGTGCATGCTGTCCATTTTTAGAGAAGCCCTTCTGAACGGGGATTCCACTTTGCCATTCCAACACCGAAACGATTTGCAAAAGTGATACATAGACCATGATAGCCATAGATTCACATTTAGAACAAAACTCTACGTTTATTTTTGGTCAAATAACAAATATAGGGTATTTACAGGGGGGTGGGGATTCGATTTTGTCAAAAAGTTGTATCTGGGGGAGTCAAAGAGCTCTTTTGAGTTCTACACTACTAATTCAGTTAAAACTGATAAAACTTGATCTCTCCTGAACTATTGTATTAACTAAACCACGTGTCAAAGTGGTTGTTAATAATATTAAAGATGGAATTCTAAGTTTCCTGAACAAACCCTAAGAATTTTCTTTATAAAATGGTGGGGAAAAAACGTATAAGATTTAGAGAATTAAAACTACCATGACAAAACACATGTAATTTTACTTTTATAGGGTATCGCTCATACATATCAGTTACTGTGTCCGTTTCCTTGGTTATAGCATTTCTCAAATTCCAGGACAAAGTTTTCTGCCTCTCAACTTGAGATCAAGGGACATGACCTGTGTCACCCAGCTGGAGATCCCCGCAGGAAAGTAGCTCTATTGCTACAGGCACTAGGACACCCCCACCGTCTCCCACCCACACAGCCATACACACCCTAGGATCCGGAAGGCACGAGCTGGCAGTGCGGTCCCAGCTTCTCTCTCCCGTATGAAGTGAGAGCCCCGCTGGTAGTGAGGAAGGTTTAACAGCAGCCTCCCTTGGGGAGGAGGAGATCTGTAGAGAGAAAGGGAGGGCGGGAGAAGGAAAACCCAGTGAGGAGTCACCAGCAGCCGCCCGACAAACCCTAGTGGCAGTAATTTTTAGAATAGCCCTTTGCCATCCCACTGGAGGAAAAGGATTGAGCCTGCGCGCTCGCCTGGAGCAGGCTGAGCCCTCCTCTCCCTCTTTGGTCTTCAGCTGTGTGGGCAGTGCAGGGGAAGAGGGCGTGCTCTGGTTGGTGGAGAGGGGTTGGGTTTCTTGACCTGGCCAGGTTGTTCACTTGTTTATAAAAGTCAAGGACTCAACGGATGCGAGGAAAGAAAATAAGCTGAATGGATGTTCAGTTGCAATTCACGGAAGCAGGGACTTGAGTTGTAAAAAGAGAGATAGTGGCAAAAATTAGCTTTTCGGAGGACAAATTGCGGTCGCCTCAGGTCCTGTGAGGCGACTGTGTATAAATAGACTCTGTGGAGGAGGAGACATGTTTACCAGGACGGGAGATGTTCCACAGCACCTCAGTATGGGGCTGACATTTCATAGTTTAATAGAGCCAGCTTTGTGATCAGCTCCCCATCAGCCATTGATCCCCAGGAGGGTCTGTAATAAACACAGTGGCACAGAAGCACGTTGGGAAATATCTTCTTTGGCGACATTTCATACAAGGAAGGCAATTCAAGTGATTGTCATCGACAGAGGGTTTTTCATAGGCTCCTAGGGTATAGAATGACTGCTCTAAGGGTCAGTATGGTGTCAGCTTCAGTCATGGACGAATAGACCGTCGAAAAGCGACATCCTAATTATCCCTTATCAGTTCCATGTCATCTTGGCCTACTGAGAAGCCGGTCTGCATCTTTAATTGCTAGAAGGATGAAAACATCAGCAGCCAGACATACTGGGTACAAGTGAAAAAAAAATCATAGCCAAGGGAGGAATTAGAGGTGAGCTGGGACTGCCAAGAATTTCAAGTTGGGGCTGTTTTGCACCAAGAAAGTGCAATTGAAATTCATTTAGCCTACTATGTTACAAATAGGCCCCAATGAGTAAACACCAGAAAAAAAAAACAGTGAAAAATCAGGAAGAAAAACTGTGATCAACTGGGTTCTAATGACAAAACTGCAGCTTGATCAAGACCCAATCCTCTGAAAAGAGAAGGGTGGAAGTCGGTCGGGGAAGTGATAGACAGGTGCGACACAGAAGCCACGTAGAAAGGACTTCCTCCCTTCCTTCATTGTTCCCTCTCTCCTTCTCTTCCCCTCTTCTCCTTCCCCACTTTCTTTCTTTGAGACCCAATCCTACTATGTAACTTAAAGCTAGCGCGGAACTCTCTACGTAGCCCAGGCTGTGCTTGAACTTGTTATCTTCCTGCCTCAGCCGCTTGAGTGCTGGAATTATAGGCTCAGGCCACCATGCCTTGTTTGATCTTAGATGTTTGGATTCTACTCATGGATCTTTAGCACAGAATCTGGGAGAAGCAAACTAGGGAGGTTTATTGAACGGCCTACATTGAAATCATTCTATATTTGGTTTTGAGATACGGTCTTGCCATGTTGCCTGGGCTCAAGAGATCCATCTCCAGAGTACTTTGGAATACAGGTGTGGAGCAGTGAGCCCCCCAGTCTTGATGCAGGTAAAGGGTCAGAGCATTCAATTTTGTTTTCTCCATACTGTAAAAGCCCTGCTGGGCTCAACCTCTAGGACCTACACAAAGCTGGACGTCATGGCTCCCATCTGCAACTCCATCCAGCATCCCTATGGCAAAGTAGGACACAGGGACAGGGACCCATCCAGAGACTTACAGATCAGCTTGCAATGGCAGCAGAGGCACGGGGCCTTGCATGGTGGTGTGTGCATGAGCTTCTAGCAGTGTGCTTTCAGGAGGAGGTGGCACAGGACAGAGTCAGTAAGCAGAGTTCTTATTTCACTCAGGCTGTGGGGAATCTAGCTGGAGAGACCGAGGCCATGATGCAAGACACTTTGGGAACTGTTCCTGTGGAGAAGAAAAAGGGGAAAGGATCAGTTCTATAGACTCTTTGTTAGTGGCTCGCACATTGAAACCACAGAAGAAATTCTGAGAAACACCCGCACACAGTGGGAAAAGCACCCAGACTGTGTGGTGATGAGGGACCATGAAAACAAATGATCAAGAGGATTTGGTTTTGGAAATGTCCTCTTCCAAGGCTGAGCTGATGTTGGCTTGACTGCAAGGCCTCTTTCAGCTGATGGAAGAGACACTGAGCCAGAACAAAACCAGAGAGGAATCTTGAAAACTCAGCACCCACATGGCCCTGAAGAAGCTGTCTGTGGGGTTAGAGAAGATGCTAAGAACATCACTAGAGTTTTCTTTTAAAAATGTGGAAAAATAAATACTATTTAAATAACAATAGTTTTAAAATTACTGATAGGCAGTCAGGGAAGAAAATGGCTTTGACTTTGTTTTTCTTGATGACTATAGTCCTGTGGGAAAAAAATCCCACAATTATCGCACCATCCACGGTCACAATGCAGAAGTTAGAACGGCAAGCAAAGCAGAAGTCCAAAGAGCCAGGAGTGAACGAGGAGAGAACTCAGGTTTTGGGGGAATCTCATTGTGGTGGTGGAAATTTTGGACCAGGACCAGGGAACAACTTTCCTCAGGAAGAGGTGATGGATATGGAAGTGGGCATGGATTTGGTGATGGCTACCATGGGTATGGTGGAGAGCCTAGAGGTGGCCACTTTGGAGGTAGCCCTGATTATTGAGGAGAACATAGTGGTGGAAGCCCGGGTATGGCAACCAGGAGTGGGATGGTGGAGATGATCATATCCACTGCAGAGGAGGAGATTCCAGAAGTGGGAAGGAGAATGGCTTTGGAAAGCGTAGTCAGCACTCTTTTATCTACATCACAAGGAAGAGCAGAAACTCGGTGGTGGCAGGAATGTGGAGGAGCAATATCACGCAGGAAGCTCTGGTCCTTGGGGCAGAGAAGGAAGTGGGATGTTGGTGGGAAGAGCCAAAGCCAGTTTCCTACTTGCCGTGGGCTTCAGGATAGAAAAGGGAGAGGATGAGAGCCCAGAGGAACTGAACAGCTTCAGGTTATCAAAATGAGAGTGTCCCAAGGACTCTTATCTCAGTCATGCACAAATGTGGATTGTTACAGCTGAAGACAGCAGAACAGATGCAGCGAGCTATTCTGGAATAGACCGTATTATCTGATAACATTACCTTACTGTGTAGGAAGGATTGGACACACAGACATGCACATACATGATCTTTCTTAGCTTTTTAATTGTTGTTTCTTTCTAGTGGTTTTTGTAAAAGTATAGACATATTCTTTTCTTGATAATGTCAGATATATAAATTTCAGGTGACATGTGAAATCTTTCAAAGATTTTTTTTTCAAAGTTTTGAAACTAGCCAGGATCGTGGTATAATAAGATATAATTTTTTTAAAAAAATTTAAGTGTGTTTCAGGAGATGCCATTTTTTAAATTGTTTCTCTCAGTGTTTGTGCTACTGGGGTTATATTTAGAAAGTAGTCTCCAGTGTCAATGCCTTCACCTGTACTTCCCACTTTCTCTTCTATGAGGTTCAGTGTGGTTGGTTTTATGTTGAAGTCTTTGATACATCGGGACTTGAGTTTTGTGCATGACAATAGATATGGACCTATTTTCATTCTTCTACATGTTAATATCCAGTTATGCCAGCACCATTTGTTGAACATGCTTTCCCCCCCATTTTATATGTTTTGTTTCTTTCTCAAAAATTAGATGTTCATAGGTGTGCAGATAGATATTCATGTTTTTGATCCGGTTCCATTGGTCTTCCTGTCGGTTTTTATGCCAATACCAGGCTGTTTTCAGTGCTGTAGCTCAGCAAAAGACATGATCAACAAGACAAAATGGCAGCCCACAGAATGGGGAAAGATCTTCACCAACCCCACATCAGACAGAGGACTGATCTCCAATATATACAAAGAACTCAAGAAATTGGTCATCAAAATAATCCAATAAAAAGAATGGAGTGCAGACCTAAAGAGAGAACTCTCAACAGAGGAATCAAAAATGGCTGAAAGACACTTAAGGAAATGTTCAACATCCTTAGTCATCAGAGAAATGCAAATCAAAACAACTCTGAGATTCCATCTTACCTCTGCAAGAATGGCCAAGATCAAAAACACTAATAACAACTTATGTTGGAGAGGATGTGGGGTAAAGGGAACATTTTTCCATTGCTGGTGGGAGTACAAACTGGTACTTTGGAAATCAGTATGGTGATTTCTCAGAAAATTAGGAAACAACCTACCTCAAGACCGAGCAATACCGCTTTTGGGTATATACCAAAGGATGCTCAATCATACCACAAGGACATGTGATGTACTCAACTATGTTCATAGCAACATTGTTTGTCATAGCCAGAACCTGGAAACAACCTAAATGCCCCTCAACCAAAGAATGGATAAAGAAGATGTGGTACATTTGCACAACGGAATACTATACAGCAGAAAAAAACAATGACATTTTGAAATTTGTGGACAAATGTATGAATCTAGAAAATATATTGAGCGAGGTAACCCAGATCCAGAAAGACAAATATCAAGTGTACTCACTCATAAGTGGCTTTTAGACATAAATCAAAGAAAAACCAGCCTACAGTTCATAATCCCAGAGAACCTAGATAACAAAGAGAACCCTAAGAGAGACATTCATGGATCTAATCTACATGGGAAGACAAGATCTACTGAGTAAATTGGGAGCATGGGTCTAATGGGAGAGGATAGAAGGGGAGGGGGAAGGGAGGAGGAAGGGATGGGAGTGAAAAAAAAATACATAGCTTAATAAAAACAATTCGAAAAAATGTTAAGAAAAAAAGAACAAGTAGGACATTTCCTTATAATATCCTTGACTTGTTGCCTTCTAAAGGAAAAGTCTTATTTTTTTTCAAATTTTTACTATTGCCATGATGCTTTTATGAAATTATGAGGTCTTCAGCATATTTCTAATCAATAACTGATCGATTTCTGCATTACCTTGTGCTAGAGGACCTGGCAGACCCGTATGGGATTGGATATGTGTTATGTATATGAGATGATACCTATTCTTGACTGTATCTTGTAACTGAATAAATGA